GTAGGTAAGTAGAGGTCTAGGGTCTGACTGTAGGCAGGGAGGTAGGTAGGGACTGAGGCTCTGATTATAGGCAGGCAGGTAGGTAGGTAGTGATCTAGGCTCTGACTGTAGGCAGGAAGGCAGGGATCTAGGCTCTGACTAGCTGTGATATAGGAGCTGTAGGTGTCACTGCCCGTGGGTCTTTCCTCACTATGGGCCCCTTGACTTCTCCTTATGCTCCCCCACTGGGCCTTACATGCAGGATGGACCTTTCTGAAGCTGGGGACCTAGTCACCTGCCCCTTGTTTCCGTCCTGTGCCGAGACTTGGGGGACTACACATGGGGCCTCTCTCATGCCTCCCAAGGCTCCAACTTCCCCTCATTGCTAGTTACAAAAGCCCCCAAAGATACTCCCTTGATTCCATTTGTCCCCGTTGCAAATTAACCTGCCACCCCAGTGCCAACTCTGAAGACTACTTCCTTGCCTTCCAGCCTTCAGTGAACATAGGCTTGTGCATCCAGTGCTGGAACAGAGCATCTCAAAGGCAACACAGATAGGCACAACTAGCCCCTGACTCCAATGACAACATACCACTCTCTCCCTAGCGTACTTGTTGCTCATCAGCACCCCTAAAAGACTCTGTTCAACTCTAAAGTGCTAACTAATGAGCAAGATATAGTCAGATCTCAGTTCAAGTGTTACAAGCTTTAATGAGGTGCTTGCTGTGGCTGAATCCCTATTTCTCACACCAAACTAGGCAGACAGTTGTGATGAAGGTTGGATTAACATTAAAGAATGCCTGAGGACTGGAGAGATAGCCCAGTGGGTAGAGCATGTGCCTTGCAAGTGTGGAAACTGGCCTGGCAGCATACATCTGTAACCCCAGTGCTGAGGGGCAGATCTCAGGGGCCTGTTGGCCAGTCAGTCTAGCTTTCAAAAAATAAGGTGGAGGGCTGGTGAGATGACTCAGTAGATAAAGGAGTTTGCTGCCAAGCCTGACAATCTGAGTTCAATTCCTTGGACCCACATAGTAGAAGGAGAACTGACTCCCACAAGTCTGACCTCCACATGCAAACCATGGCCTGTGCATGTGTGCACACACACAAAATAAATAAAAGTGTAATATAAAAATTGAAAAAAAATGAAGTAGACAATGACATTTGACATTGACCTTTGACCTCCATGAGCACGCACACCCACACAGAAAGGGGAGAGGGAGGGAGAGACAGGGACAGAGTAAGACAGAGACAGACAGACACAGAGACTGAAAGCGCTTAAAGCCATGTGCAGAGGGTGCACATCTATAATCCCAGTGCTGAGCAGGCAGAAGCAGGAGCAGGAGGATCCAAGTTTGAGGTCAGGTCTAGGCTATTCAAAAAGACCCTGCCTCAGAAAAGCCAAAGGCTGGAAGTGAAGCACAGTGGTACAGTGCTTGCTTAGAGAGACAGTCTTGTGTAGCACAGACTGACTTTGAACTTACTATGTAGCGTAGGCTGATCTTGAATTCCTGGTCCTCCCGCCTCTACTTTGGGTGCTAGAATTAAGGCATGTGCAATCACACTCAATTTATGTAGTGCTGGGGATGCAACTCTGCACATGCTAGGCAAACACTACCAACTAAGCCATACCCCAGTCCTGATGATGGAACAGTTTAGATGAGGGATGTCCACCTTGCATTTCCCAAAATATCATCTTTTTGTTTTGTTTTGGGTGTGCATGCAGGTGTGTATGAGTGTTTGTTGTGTGAGTATGTAGAGGCCAGGGGCCAACCTCAGAGGTCACTTCTCAGGACCTGTGCGTCTTGTTTTCTGGCACTGGGACCCTAAACTTGCTGATTAGGGCAGGCTAGGTGGCCAGTAAGCCCCAAGGATCTGCCTGTCTCCACTTCCTCAGTGCTGGGATTACAGACGTATGCCACACTATACCCAGCTTTTTACATGAGTTCTGGGGATTGAACTCAGTTCCTCATGCTTGTGTGGCAAGCACTTTACCAAGTGAATCGTCTCCCCAGCCTCTTCTATCAGAGATTGTCTATCCTCTGTCACCATCCTAAGTCAGGCTTGTGAGTCAGACCCCTGAATTATTGTGTCAGTCTCTTTCTGCCAGTCGCTGCCATCTGCCCACCGGGATGGCAATCTTCAACAAACAGTACGTCTCCCAGCTGTTTACTGACTCCCTATTGTCTTCAGAAGAGCCTAATCCTGGCATTCAATGTCCACTCCAACTCAATCTCAATTTGGTCTCCTAACTGCATCCCTTGACTCACGCTATTCCCTATGGCCTTGTCTCCATGTTTCAAGAGTCCCCTGAACCTCAGGGCATGTTATCTGCCTCTCTTCTGGCCTTACCAGTCACAATGGGCAATAAGTATTCCTATCACTCTCTGGTTGTGTGACTACAGGCAGGAGGATGGCCTGCTCTTGAAGCAAGTGTTCAAAGGCAGGTATAACTCAGTATCTAACTATGCAAAGTACTAAGAATCTTGCTAAATAGACTGGGTGTGGCAGTACACACCTTTAATCCCAGCACTGTGGGAGTCAGAGACAGGGCAGATCTCTGAGAGTTTGAGGTCAGTCTGGTCTACATATCGAGTTCCAACCTAGCTAGGGCTACAGGGAGACCCTGTCTCAAACAACAACAAAAAGAATCCTGCTAAGTATTAGAAGAGGTTGACTTAGTCTTTTCCTGTTTGAGACAGGGTCTCATGTAGCCCAGGTTCACACTGAGTTTGGGATGTTGCCAAAGCTGGCCTTAAATATCCATTGCTCATTGCTTCTTGGGATGCTCCTACTAGAATGCTGGACCCCCTACAGGTATCCAGTCCTTTAGCCCTGGCCACAGCCTTGCCCCTACTCTTCCTGTGGGCATCTGGGGGTCAGGACTCTTTTCATTGGCCCATCTATCTTTATAGACAGCTCAGCTCGGGCTCACAGACAGTGGCTCTGATTCTTCTGAGAACTGGCTTGCTTTCCCCCTCTCCTGCAGCACAAGCTCTCAGAAAGGCTGGGACATGCTGCTCTGCACCTCCTCCTCTGCCTGGGTGCTAAGAGCCTGTGGTGATACATTACAATCCCCAATTCCTTTCATGGGTTCTGCATGGCAAATTCTACCAGCCTTGAATTGAAAATATTCAGGAAAAAAAATGCATCAGGAGAAGACTTGGTCAGTAAAATGCTTGCTGTAGTCTCTTGAGGACCCAAGTTCAGATCCCCAGCATCTGTGTAAAAAGATGGGCATGTTGGTGTACATCTGTAACCCCAGCACTGTGGGGCAGGAGATGGGGGAGTATGGAGACAGGAGGCTTCTTGGAACTAGTTGGCCAGCCAGTCTAGCCAAATTGGTGAGCTTCAGGTGACCGTGCCTCAAAAAATAAGGTGGAGGCGCTAGAGAGATGGTTTAGCAGTTAAGAGCACTGGCTGCTCTTGCAAAGGACCTGGGTTCAGTTCTTAGCACCTACATTGCAGCTAACAATCATAAATAACTTCAGTTCCAGGGGATCCAACATCCTCTTCTGGCCTCTGTGTGCACTGCACACACATGGTGCAGGCAAAATACTGATACATGCAAAATAAAAAACAGGGGCTGGAGAGATGGCTCAGAGGCTAAAAGCACTGGCTATTTTTAAACAGAGGACCTGGGTTTGAATCCCAGCACCCACATGGTGGCTAACAACCATTCGTAACTCCAGTTCCAGGGGAATCTGAAGCCCTCTTCTGTTACTGCACAACATGGGTGCACATACACACATGCAGGCAATACACTCAAAATAAAAATAAATTTAAGAAAATTATAAAAATAGATAAAATCTTTAAAAAAAAGGTGGAGAGCAATTGAAGGTGGTGGCCTCTATACACATCCACATGCATCTGCACACACACGTGCACAGAAATACAGGTAAACACACACATTTGAAACATGTACAGACTTCTTTCCTTATTCCATAAACGATGCAGTATAACTATTGATACAGTATTCACAATTCACATCACATTAAATCTAATGAGGTGTTTTTTGTTTGAAGACGGGGTAGGTCTCATGTAGCCCAGGCTGGCCTCAAACTCACTCATAGCTGAGGATGATCTTGAACTTGTGATCCTCCTGCCTCCACCTACCGAGTGCTGGGCTTACAGGTATGTCTGGTTTACATGGTGCTGGGGATGGAATCCAGGGTTTCATGTATGTTAGGCAAGCACTCTACCAACTAAGTTATAGACTTAGCCCCTAAGTAGGATTTAAAGTATACTAGCAAAGCTGAGGTGTGGTGGTGCATAGTGGAAGTCCTGGCTACTGGGGAGGCTGAGGCAGCTGAATTGCTTGAGCCTCAGAGGTTCCAGGCTGGCCTGGGCAACATGACAAGACCCTGCTTCAACACACAAATACACACACACACACACACACACACACACACACACACACACACACGAGAGATGGTTCAATGGGTAAAAGTGCTTGCCTTGGGTTCAATCCCTGGAACCAACATTAAAATGCCAGGTGTGGTAGCAGGCATCTATATAATCCCAGCACTCCTACTGCAAGATGGGAGATGGAGACAGGAGAAATGGCTGGAAGCTCTCAGGTCAGCCAGCCTGGAGTTAGCTACAGTGGCAAAAACAAGAGACACTGCCTCAACAAGCTGGACAGTCAGAACTGACTCCTGAAAGTTGTTCTCTGACCTCTGCACATGTTCCTGGAATGTATACACATGCACATGTGCATGCAGGTACATGAGTGTGCACGCACATACACACAATTTAACAATTAATATATACATATATGGACCTGGGGATGCAGCTCAGTGATGGAGCACTTGCCTAGGATCCCCAGTGAGGGACTGGGGCTGTGGCTCAGCAGAACACCTGCCTAGAACCCCCCACAAAACCAAAAGCTCCTTGTTTAATAGAAAAGGAAATTGAAGCCAAAGACCCACTGGAGATAACAGTCAAAAACAGCACCAGGAGGAACATCCAGGTCTCAGGCAGGACATGCTGAGGGCACCTGTCCTCTGGCCAGCTCATTTTACCTGAAGCAGTCTGCATGCCAGTCAGCATTCAGGGCCTGGAGGTACTGGCCGTCGTAGATCCTCTGGCCACAGCTCGCACACACGGGCAACTCACTTCCTGAGGGGGGGGGTTGTGGAAAGCAAGTCAGGAATCATTCTTAGGGGTGCAGCTTGTTGGAGGTCCAGCCTGCCTTGCTCACCCCAGGTGCACACACAGAAGCAAGCAAGCAGTAGAATTTAGAAACAAGGTGGAGGGCGGCACTCGTGCCACAGCTTTTCTTCTCCTGTCTTCTCAGGAAGAAGTGTTGAGAGGGTCCCTCAAAGGACAGGGACATGGCAGGGCTGGGTTGGTCCATCCTGGGCTAGGAGGAACAGAGTAGGAAACCCTACGACCCTTATTGTAACTCCATGAAAGGCCAGTGCTGCAAAGCCAAGCACTTCCTTATGCCAGCTACTATACATGCTTAGTCATCCTGGGACATGGCACCCCTCAGAGCTGGAGGGCACTGCCATATAGCCCAGGCCTGCCCCCTCTACACCTTAGAGATGGGGACATCTCTGCCCCACAGAGGGCACCTCTCATCTTGACACATGACCAGGTTTCAATGCCAGTGTCTCTCCATGGGTATCCAACCACCTCTAGTACTGTTGCAAAGGTGAGGTGGGCCTATGCCCAAAAGGGGGTGGGGGCTTCAGGAATCTAGGGGGAATATGGGGAGGACAGAGCAGGGCTAGAGAGAGCAGGACCTGCCTTTGGACCAGCTGAGCCCATGTTGGGGCTTGGAGAAAGAAACCCAAGGGAGATTCCTGACTCTGATGCAGGCTGAGGGAGTCTCAGAGGTCTCTGAACCTCTGAGTGCAGTCCAAGCCTGGGGCCCCCTCAGTGAGGTGGAAGAGGGCAAGGAGGAGGCTAGGAAGACTAATTATGTACTAGGTTTGGTGCAGGGAGAAGGGGAGGTCATCGCGTGGGGATGGGGGTGGTGTCCCTCTGCAGTGTTCTGTCAAAGGATCTACGATGTATACCTCTCCTGTGCCTGTCCAGCCCTGCAAGTCAGCAACTACCCTGTCCTGAACTGCACAGTGGGGAAACTGAGGCCCAGGGTGTTAGCGACTTGCTCAAGGTCAGAAAGCCCAGTAAACGCAGGTCTGGGATTCAGATCTAGGGTTGCAGCGATTTGGCTCTCCCAGGCCAGGTTGGAGCAAAGGGTGTACCCTCCCTCCCTGGGAGGGGGGGACAGAGTACTGGGGACCCAGACCAGTGCTGGGTGAGCAGTACTCTGGGAGATGGGGTGATACAGAGTCGGGAAATGGGAAGAGGGGGCTCCCTCCAACCCGGGGCCGAGGCGGGGGGGAGAGGGTGGGAGGGTGACAGGGAGCGGCCTCCGGGCTTGGGAAGGACAGGCCCATCCCCGGGAGGCAGGGGCGCGGCCTCCCGTTAGCCCGGGGCCCTCGGGTGCTCTCGGCTCCCCTCCCCGGCCCCCCTCCCCAGT